ATTTGCCTTCTCTTGGGGAGAAAAATCAACATGTTGATGTTCTAGTTGGTGAGTTAGGCATGATTCACAAGTTAGATCAGCAGCTACCCAGTGATGACATGCTAAATACAAGGTTGCAACAGACAAACCTCGTCATCGCGTTGTGTTTGAAGCCGGTGATTATGTGTGGGTTGTCTTAACTAAGAATCATTTTCCTACTGGACAATACAATAAGTTGAGTCACCAAAAGATTGAGCCATGTAAGTTACAGAAAAAGATAAATGACAATGCAAAATATCGGCTGCAACCACAAAGGCACTTACAAACGTCTGATGTGTTCAATGTGAAACATCTCATTCCATATAATGGAGATCCATTTGAAGGTGGCAACTTGAACTCAAAGTTGAGTTCTTTCTAGCCGGGGAGGATGATGCATGCATATACTCTTAGCATTTTATGAAGAAGCTATGACACACAGGTCCATACATGCAAAAAAGTCCAATAGTGGAAATATTTATTTGGTTTAATAAGAAGCTTAAGAGGCATGTGTTAGTGTGTGCAGGTTTATTAACAGCCCTATGTTAGTGTGTGCACAGTTTTATTAGTTCTTTCACATGCTAGTTTGGGTTGCTCTGCATAATCTATATATAGTACTATGTAAAACCTCGCGCGTTGCTGCGGGAGTTTACTATGATAACAATAAGTAAAAAATAATGCGTAAGATAGCTTAAACAACATAACCTTGCATAAATATAAGTTTACATAAGTTGATGTAATTTAAAGAAATAGTATATAGAACAAAAGTAAGATGATGTGGCTTTCTGAGAGAAGAAAAGAAGGAAGATAATTTAGACCATACATCTAAGGGCTAAAAAAATTGAGATGATATGGCTTAATGAGAAGAAAACGAATGAAGAGAGATAATTTGAACTATAGATTAATTATCTAAGGACTAAAAACAATTTATGTGATATGATTTAATGAGAGAAAAGAGAAATAATATTAACTAATTAAGTGAGGGTGAACTATACAGGTATATAGAATATTATAAAAAATGATGGAGAGATATATTGAAATATTATGTGAATTATGTGGGATGTTTTAACATGCTTGCATTTTAAATCTCTAAAATCTAATAAATTATAAAATTATAGATAATATAGCATGTTTGCATGATGCCTAAATGTAATAATTGTTGATGGATGATGATGTGGCATCTTTGCATGTTAAGCTTTAGGAATTAGTGATTGTTAGTGGATGATGATGTAGCATCTTTACATGTTAAGCTTTAGTAATTAGTGGGTTATAACTTTGTAGTAAGAGAGGATTAGGTTTTAAAGAAAAGGTAGGATGAACTTACTCACTACTATTGATGAATAGTAGAAGGCATTTGTGAGTTACAGAATTATATAGATTTCTATCATATTTGTGAGGCTCACTTTTTTTCATTGGCTCCTCGTTTTAACCTTAGGATTGGAGGAAAAGGAAAAATATGACCACAAACTGGATCAACTAGATTTGTACAACGAATGCACACACCAACATAAACAAGAAAACACATTTTATAGTGTTTGAATTTTGATATTTAATTTTATATTTGGTTTTAGAATATTTTTGATGTAGGATATTTTTAACGCTGGCTTTTAAATCATTGAAAACACATATATAAAAGTTTTAGATATAAATTATATTTTATTTGCTCATCTGTAGCTCTTGGAATTTCGACAAATTGACCCTTCTATAGAATTTATTTCAAGAATAGACCGTTGTTGGTATTTGTTACGGTCACAGATAAATCTGCAAGCGCACGAATACCGCTGTAGCACTTCACGTTAGAGTATTCCAAGGGTATTGATTCACAGGGAATGTGTGTATATCTATAAATAAGATTCAACCAAGGACAACAACTAATGGTAGTCTTAGGCTAGAGAGGGTTCCTATGATTTAATTAACAAGATTTATTAAAGGTAAACACTATCGATTGCTTCAGGCACTGCCTCTCCCCTGGTCTGCCAAGCTTCGTCCAGTCTGTAGCTATGTGATGTACCAAAACATTGAGGAATACAAAGAATGGACAAGGCTGTCACAACCTACCGCCTAACTCACTTTTCGTGGAGCACACAATAAACGAAGGTAACCACTAACCTAGATACCACAGTTATTGATCACTACTCTAACCTCGCGCATGAACTTCCTTTTTTATCCAGAGTCTTAGTACTAGAGCACTTAATATAAATACTAAGGCTATGTTTGCTACTCAGGGTTACCAACCCTTCTTCCTCGTTTTCCGCGCACACGCTTTTCAAACTGCTAAACGGTGTGTTTTTTTGCAAAAAGTTTATATACGAAAGTTGCTTAAAAAAATCAAATTACTCCATCTTTGAAAAAAAAAATTAACTAATACTTAATTGATCACGCGTTAATGGACCGCTTCGTTTTCCGTGCGGAGGGAAATAGTTCCCATCCAGGATCTCCGAACACAGCCTAAGCGACAAACTCATAACTATGAGAATATATCACACTTAAGTAAGCTAATTAAATACGAAAAGAAAATCATGAGTACTTACTTATATAAAAGAAGCATTTGTCGAAGTACAAGATCAAAGTGAGGACCGACAACTCCGACGCTCCTCTAGGACTCTCCAGAAGATAGGCCAACATCTCTGGAACATCTTGGAGAGAAAGCCGACATTTGGGGCACTCCTTCTGGAGCTTCCCCTTACTCTTTTCATATGTTCTAACTCAGCTAGAGAGTAGCCTAAATGTGTAAGTAAGTTGTTCTTCACTTGTTGTGTAATTTGAGAGTGAGAGCTTCTCCTCCTTATATAGTGCTGTAATGACGGTTTGGAAGTTGGTTAAGCTGAAAATCAATCGTAACCGTCATTGGGAATTTAGGATCTTGCTCCTTGTGTCGGCCGATGGCGAGGAGAGGCAAAGGCGGTTTGGCCAACCTTGGGTTTGGGTGACCCCTTTGGCCCACCTCGCGACCACTCCTTCGGCTAAGAGGCTACCTGTGGGCCCTTCTACATGTTGTACCTTTGTTGGTCTCAACTCTACATGGTTTTGATTGTCATGTGAGGCCCCCAATTCATGTATTCGTGTCAGATTGTCCTGTGGGTGGTTCGTCCATAATTTACCTGCATACAAATATTCACCAAGATTTGTGTAAATGGTTAGTAATAACCACTACATATAAGTTTGGTACTCCATTTCATATTCTTTTAGTTACTTTCATGCAGGATTCGACAGTCGAATTTGGTAAACAACTATGCAGTACCGTAAACAACTATGCCAAAAATATATTAAAAAATGAATCATTGACTCAACACCATCATGGTTGGTGCTAAGGTATACCACTTTAGCGTCATGAATATTGGGTCTGGCATTCCATCCGAGGTGGCACCAATTTGCCAAGTCAGATGAGGTTAGCACCATTGTGTTTGGCGATGAGCTATCTACCCTATAAAAGATATGCATGATCTTTCAATTCACACGTGTCTCACCGGTGGAGTTGTAAATAGGCTTTTGCCTCACCCTAGGGAGTATGTTAGAATCCCATGTTTGCAATGTTTTTTTAGGAATTTTTTCTACCACTATGAATTACCAAATGCTAAGTATAATTAATTATATCTAGTACATACATTTTATGAATATGAAATACAAATATCTCATACATATCTAATATTTAATTTAAACACTAAATATACCTTAATATTAGTTTTTGATTCATAGAATATTTTATACCTAAAATAGTAATAGTATATAACATTTATAGTGCTTAAAATAAAAAAGTATGAAGACAAAATGTGTAATCTTGAAAAAAAAATACGGAGAGTTGTTAACATTGATTAAAAAAACCCTTGAAAAAGAAGATATGTTGGGAGTCAAACTGTATTCCCTTGGGGTGTGGACATAAATAACTACTTCCTCCGTCTCGTACTAGAAAGCTATATTTTGGGACGGAGGTAGTAACCACTTCACTAGTCAAACTTATGTGACTTGTGATGGTCATGCATAAATTTTGTAGGATATAGCTTAGCGGTAAAGATAGTGGTGCAAACCTGATTTGACTCGACAAATTGGTACTATAACTTAGTGCCAATTTCGATAATGTTGAGCCGACGATTCATTTTTACAATAAGTTTTTGGCACGATTAATTCTTGAAATAAGTTTTCTAGAAGGTCAATTTGTCAAAATTTTGACTGTTACTCGTTGGGACTATGGACCTGTTCACTTTATAGCTATTTTCAACCTTTTCAAAATTTGGCATTGCCAAAATTTTGACAAGTTAGTAACATTACCAATTTTTGATAACATGTTGTAAACTTCTCTAGGCATTACCAATATTTAATAACAAAATAAATACAACTATATATTTTTATTAAATATTGGTATGGTTTAAAATGCCATGAATAGGCCCTTACATTGGTATGGGCCATTTTAAAGAGGAATAAGTTCACTTGGTGACCCTCGAAAGTGATTGGAATCTAATCCGTAACCCTAAACCACAAAACCGGATATCTTGACCCCCAAACTATAGAAACCAATGCAATTTGACTCCCTCAGCGGTTTTGGAGGGCAGTTTCGCTGACGTGGCGGTATTGACCAGATCTCCTTTACACGTGATGTTGACGTGGCGTTTAGGTGGCATTTCAATTAAAAAGTTATATGTGGGTGTGTGAATGACAAATGGGTCCCACGTATAACTTTTTAATTGAAATGCCACCTAAGCGCCACATCAACACCACGTGTAAAGAAGACCCGGTCAATATCGCCACGTCAGCGAAACCGCCCTTCAAAACTGCCGAGGGAGTCAAATTGCACCGGTTTTCATAGTTTGGGGGTCAAGATATCCAGTTTTGTGGTTTAGGGTCACGGATTAGATTTCAATCACTTTTGAGGTTCACCAAGTGAACTTATTCCTTTTAAAAGGGGAAAAAGAGGAGGGCTCGAGAAGGACCTGGAAGCTCCGGGCCACAGGCCACAGGCAGCCCATGGCCGAAAAAGCCCAACGTCCCCGCCATGGCCCAAAAAGGCACCCACCCGAAAACTCTCCCCAAACCCCTCGTCCTCCTCACCGTCGTCTTCCCCGCCGGCCGCCGCTCCCCTCCTCGCCACCGCCGCCATGCCTTTCCACTTCCAATTCCCATGGCTCCCCAACAACCCCACCTCCTCCTCCTCCTCCCCAACGAAACCACCTAGCCCTGCAATCCCCAACCCCTTCCTCCCCATCCAGGCCGGCCTCGCCTCCTTCCTCTCCTCCCTCCCGCTCCCACGCGCGGCCTTCCCGCCGCCGCCCTGGGCTCGCATCTCCTCCGCCTCAGCCTCCGCGGCCTCGGCCTCGGCTCTCCCCGTGGCGGAGATCGAGGAGCGGCTCGCGGGGGTCCCCGTGTACGCGCTCGCCAACTCCTCGCAGGAGTTCGTGCTCGTGTCGTCCGCCCGCGGTGGGGGTGGGGGTGGGGGAGGTGCCCGGGCGGCGGTGCCGCCGCCGGCGCTCGGGCTCCTGTGCTTCCGGAGGGAGGACGCCGACGCCCTCCTGGCGCAGATGGACGGGGACATGGCGGCTGGCTCCACCGTCGTGCCCGTCGCGCTAAACAAGGTCGGTTGCTACTCAACTTAGTTAGTACTCAGGTGTTGCTCGATCGAATCCTTGAATGCTTGAATTCGAAGGAGATCATTTCTGTACTTTAGAGTACTTCGTGCAGTTTGGAAATGTGATTATCTTACGACGTTGGAAGAAAATTTCATCAGTTTCCTGGTTCACATAGTTATCCAACTTCTTTACATTGGAAAATTGTTCATTTTCCTGGTTGCTGTTGCTGGCCCCTGAACTTGTCGGGGGCTCGCAGGCCGAGATTTCCTCACTGCCTTGGAAGAGTATATAGGATAAAAAGAAAAAGGAAAATTTCCATTTTACTCTGCGAACTATTTCGTGGGAACACCTAACCCTTAAACTATTTCTCAATCTCATTTTACTCCCGGAACTACTTAAAACGTCTGCCTTTACTTCCTAATTAAAATTATAATTTTTTGTTTCTCCTTATACAAAACAATTTAAAATTTGGTAGAACCATACATGACGATGTAACTTACATTTACAGAATTTTTCATGACAGTTTGCATTTTGCATGCTGTTATTAGATTCTTCTAACCTATGCATATAATGATTAAAAACTGTAAAATCACAGAAAATATCGTCCTACAATATGACTTACATAAAGAGAGGAAAAAGAAAGAGAAATGTCACTAGGGAGTAACTGGGTCATTTTCATTTGTTTAGGGAGTTCAATGCTTGGTCACACTAGTTAGGGAGTAAATGGACTTCTCCACAAATAAAGGGAAATTATGATCAGCAAACTGTAGAGAAGACAACCAAAAGTGGCAAGGCAGCAATTAGCTTCTTTGGGGGTGGCAAATAATAGAGTAGCAATGTCAGGAGTAGTACATGACAATTCTCCCACCTTATATATGATCTCCCTTTTTTCAGGTTATCCAACTTAAGTCCGATGGTGTGGCATTTAGATTTGTTCCTGATTCTTCTCAGGTGGCAAACGCAATGAAGGTAACATCCTTTTCAAGTACATTCAACATCATTTGATTTTGTGATACCTGTATAAAAGAAAGGAAATTGTGTTGCCAATAACAACTGTTCTGTTAGCGGGGAACCAAATTATAGAATCAAAATATTTTTTTTGCCAGTGATTAGTGAACTGATTTTCTACCATCGATAATGTAATAAACAGGTGCACCAGTTGAAGACATATCAGTGCCTAATAAGTCTTTTTTTTTTATGAGAAGCTTAAAAGTTATTATATTATAGAATCAAGATATTTCTTGCCAGTGATTAGTAAGTTGATTTTCGACCATTGGTAACATAACAGGTGCACCAGTTAAATACATATTAGTGCCTAATTAAGTTATCAGTTTTTTTACGAGCCTAATAAGTTCTCACTATACCAGTTTATTTATCTTATTATGTTTTCTTATGTGACGTAGCAGCTATATGTATCTTTGCAGTTAATGGAAAATGAAGGCCAGTATGTGAATGATGGATTTCCAGGGGTTCCAGTTTTTCAGGTTTGAAATTATTGTGAACTATGTATCATTCAATAGGATGGAACTGATATTAAGATAAAATGTACAGGACATATTTGTTATTATTCCTTAAGTTTATAGCAGTGAGAGATGAACAAGTATATAAAGTTCAAGCATATTTGGAAATTATACTGTAACCTCGATAGAAATTTAGTATAGTATAAATGAACTATCAATTGAAAATTTACGTTTCAGTTAAAAGATGTACCAGATATAGTGTGAGGATAGGCAGTAGACATTCTTTTGAAATAGTTTCTACGCTAGATTCCCATCTAAATTAAAACATTACAGTGCTAACATTTTTGAAGATAAGATACATCTTTGTACTTGGTTATAATAATAACCCAAGCAAAAGGGTGCCACTAATCAAGGTGTAATGTACGGGCGCACGTACACGCGGCGTCGCAGGGCACGCGATGTGCGCCGCGCTGCTGATCGAGCAGCACGCCTGAGTCAGCCGGTGATCACATCAAGTGGCTAAGATTAGAAGGAAGAGAGTAATTGGTTGTTTCCTTTTTGTTACTTTCCTTTGGCAGTCCTTAAGTTTAGGAAGAGTGGTTGGGCCGGAGGCCATATATTCCTGTAACCGCACATTGAGAAAAAGGGGGAAGAATCATTCAGTCTAATCTCCTACCTCTTCTCTAAGCCACGAGCCTGGGGGCAAAACCCGGCGAGTGTTGAGCGACGTGGGGGTATAACCCCGTCGTGTTTACCACGGAGCGCGGGTACGAGCTCCGTAGTAGAGGCCCGGCGTCCCTGCCGCATACCGCCCTTGACACAAGGACAACAAAAAGGAAACTTTGAAATGCTCATGATTTAATCCTGATTAGGTGCTGCATGATTGATAAAGCCCATGCATAGCACACATTCCTTTTTTTCAGACAAAAAAAAATATGCCAGATAACCAGATTCCTACACTCCTCTACATTTGTTTTTTTTCATAATGATGAGCTCCATTATGTCCAGGGCCACCATTGACACCTTAGTTCTCTGTTTTACCATGTTATCAGACATTTTATGCTACATGTAACTGTTTTTCCATCTGACAAAAAAACCCACCCTTCTAGAGCATTGCCTTTTGGCTAGCTACCATTTCTCTTGGAAGTTGAGGTATTGTTTGGTTTGGGGAATGTGATGTTAGGGGTGATGTGGAACAATTCCTGTTAGGTGTTCCATAATTCCATTGAGTGGATTGGATGGCTTCATCAAAGACATCCACATGGTCTGCCTCTTTTTGGTTGAAGTTCTAATGCTTGTGCTTGCCAAGACAGTGACAATGGACAAATCGGTTCTGCCTCCACATTCTAGAGCATCATCTGAGTTGTACATGAGCCCAGGGCATGAGTTGGATGAGTTTGTCCAACAGAACAATTCAGCTATCCCATCTGTCATTTCTAGGGAATATACCATGAAGTGGAGCCATGACCCATTGCTTCTTGGCCCAGGAACCAAACATGGGGTTGTCCCATCTTCCTGAACCTCATCATAATCTCACCCTGTTCCAGCTCTCGTAAGTTGTAACATCAAATGCTAGGTTTGGGGACAGGTTACCTGTTCGGGACTTGTGTCCTGCCCCTTATTAGTCACAGTGTGCTGTGTCCATCATTTATATCCTGTTATCAAAAAACATATTATATTTTTGTACTATATCTCATATTCTTCTCGGGTTGATCATGACAATAAACTAGCAAACTAATGACCAATGATCTATCTTCAGTCAAGGAGTCTAGTCCTGATGAGTGATAACAAGAGATATCGTCCAGTTTTCTTCAGAAAGGTCAGGGATAATTTCTCAATGTTTCCCTTGTGAACATGGGTTATTCTTCTTTTCTTGCTTCAAAGTTCTATGCATGTTTAGGAGGACTTGGATAACTCACTACATCGAGCCTCTCGTGACCAGCAAAAGCCTAACCCTGCTGTAAAAATGGGTGACATTCAGGTACCACATTCCTTGCTTACTTCTGTTTTGTAGATTGAGTAATAAACTTTTGGATTTACAGTATATGGATTTGCTTCTTTTTTCCAGGTTTCTTCTTTGGAGAATATCATCAAATCTATGAAGGTAAATGTTAACTGCATTTCAGTCAATCTTTTTCTCTTTCAAATTATATTGTCGTGCTGAATACTATGGTTGGATCCTTTTTTATTTAAATCTATATTGTTACTGTGAACTATTTAAAACCAGAGTCTTGAGTTTGGTATTCTGTGATCCCACCTATGTTTGCTGTATGAATGTGAACACGTTGTATGATTTTGATGAACATTTTATTTATTCAAGTTGATCTTACCAAAATTAATATGATATATTTGCAGGATAGCTCCTCTTCCAAATGGGATGATGCTGTTTTTATTCCTCCAGGATTTGATCTTGCTACTAGTTCAAAGCAATCGAATCATGACAACTAGATCTTTATTTATGTTGAAGCTGCTTAACTGCTCTTGTCATGGAAATGCTTACATGAACATATTGAAGAAATAGAATACATGTTCATACCATACTAGCAACTTGATAATGGGTAATGCAATTATAAGTTTGTCGTTCCTTATCTGAGCTGTATGCTGTGCAATGTTAATTAGTGAAACTGAAGGAACGACTGTAGCTCGAAGTCCCCTCTAGTAAAATGTTGCCCCATATATTTTTCTTCTAAGGATAAAAAAATATGATAAAAAATGATGCTACATAATTTCAGGATTGTAGAATGTAGAGATATTGTACACTTAGTCATGTAATCTGTACGTCTGCCAACTAGTTTTATCCCAGTGTGTAGTGTCTACATATATATACTTCTTGATCCTCCTTTCCCATTTCAGTATCTTGGGAAAATCTTTACCGAAGGGTCCAATATTTGATGTCTATGCCTTGATATACAAAATAGAAATATAGTTATGCATTATATATTATTTTTATTAAGAAAAGTAAGCCATAGGATGAAAAATCCAATCTGCAAGCGATATTATTGAAATCATAGTAGCACATAATAATGGATCACATCAGATACAAAGTAGAACACAGATATTTCCACATAAGAATCAACAGCCAAGATGCTTAAACATCGCTCTTCACTGAAGAGCTATAGTCATCTTGGTCATCGTAGTACTTGGACCACAGCATGATGCCTCCGTATTTCCCTGAGCTCTTGATCACTGGAAGCACCTGTGACTTGAGATCATCTGCTGGGATGAAACCGCTCCCAGCCGCCTGGGGAGATGCAGGAAGGCCAAGAAAAATCTGCTTTGCTGGGACTGAAAGCCACTGCTTCCATGCATCAGCAAGATTAGAGGTGCTGCCTGAACTGTACTGGCAGGGAGGGTTGTTGTAGAACTGCACCCAGACATAGTCGAAGAGGCCAGTGTTTAGAGCATCACCGATGCAGGCATCAGGGAATGGGCACTGCGGCGCAGCCGTCAGGTATACCCTCCTTCCAGAGTTACTGTACCCTTTCAGGTACCTGGCAAGATCATCCCAGTGCTGGTTGGTGCCGCCCTCAATGTCGAAGTCAATGCCGTCAAGGACCGCGTCACCTAGAGGGCGAGAAGATGACTGGCCTCCCAGGAAGTTGTTCCACAGGTATGTTGCGACATTCTTGGCATCCTCTGATGATGAAAGGTAGTAGCTTCCTGCCCCTCCGCCTATGGAGAGCATGATCTTGACTCCGCGGCTCTGGCACGACTTGATGTCGGAGCTCTGGCTGGCGCAACCGCCATTGGTTGGGTCACAGTGGCCTGCCAGGTTGAAGACTGGTGGCTGGCCATTGCCGAAGGCCGCGAGGAAGGCGATGTTGACGAACTTGTAGTTGCCAGTGGCGCAGGTGTCTGCCAGTGTGCCCTCCCCGTTGTTCTGGCCCCAGTAGATAGCAATGCTACCGGCTTGTGAACTGACGAATTGCGAAGCAACTGCTGCGATGAGCAGCAGCTGTAGCAGGGATGATTTGTTAGCCATTTGTTCAGAAGAAGCAATGCTGCTTCTTCCAATCTGTCTGTCTGCTGATGGCACTTGGTGGTTTGTTTTGCTGTTTGATGAGAGCGACTTGAAATGTTGCTCTTAATATAGGGAAGATGCTGGTAGCATGGAACTGTTTGCTCGCTGTTATTTTCGTTATTGTTTATGTGCTCTGCGTTTTCTGTTGGGCAGATGAGAAACTCCGTGTACTTTCTGTTGATAGAGATTGCTGAACACATATGAATGTGTTCAGCTAGCAACTCGGAATTAACGGCAACGGTGGTTCATTGCCTGCGCTTCGGTTGTTCAGGATATTATATTCCTGATACTTGAGCATAAAAACTTGTAAGGCGTATGGCCATGGAAATGCGAGAAACGAACGTGTGATGAGTCTCCATCAAAGATATCAAGGAGAAGGGGTAAATATATGACGCTTAGGGCAAAGCTATTTAGACAAAATATAGCTTAATTAGCTTGTCTTAAACATCATATACTATAATGCGGAGGTAGTAATTATTTGGACTTCAGCTGTACTCTCAGCTCACATACATGTGTGCTGCCGTGCTGAGTCTGTTGTTTTTTCTTTAATTTAACTAGCGTCAGATCAGCAGAACATCCACGTTCAATTAAAATTAACAGGAAGTAACTGTGTTCGGGTATCCTGGTTCCCATCCGGAACTGTAATCATGGAAAACGGAGCGGTCGATTAGTACGCAATTAATTAAGTATTAGCTAATTTTTTTTCAAAAATTGGATTAATTTGATTTTTTTTAAACAACTCTCGTATAAAATTTTTTTGCAAAAAACACACCGTTTAGCAGTTTGAAAAGCATGTGCGTGGAAAACGAGGAAGAGGGGTTGGGAAAAGAGCGTGCCGAACACTCCCTAAAGCTAAGCTGAAGCTAGGAAGTATACATGAACGATGCTTTGGTTACTTTGTTGTCAAAATTAACCTTATGAAATTTTGGTGCTATCGAATTTCGGTAGCTTCAGATTTTTTAGTTTGATGTCTTTTCGAATTTCGGTAGCTTCAGATTATTTAGTTTGATGTCTTTCAATTTTTTTAATGTTTTTATGAGAGGAATGTTTTGGATCGGACTGCCAAAATTAGGATGGTATAGGTGACATCATGTTTAGTTTATTAGGTATCAAAAATTGGTCAATTCAAAATTTGGTAAGGTTGAAAGCGGCAGTAAATCTTAACAAGCTCAATATAACCAATTGACCCAGAGTGGAAGCAAAGAGAGAGCAATCGAATGAAGTAACAGCAAATCAAAGCTTGCAACAAAGAAGCACCACCAACCTCCTCTCCGCCATCGCCACTTCCCACCATGCTAGCGAAGAAGAGGAGGGAGATTAGAAGAAGCTTCTGAGTCAGAGAACAAGCTCTCGTACAAGAACGCAGACGCACCGCCGCTGCCATTGGCGCCGGCTGTGGGTGAGCTGATGGTCGTGTACCGTGAGATTGATTAAGTTTGCATAATGATTGGATTGATAACAGTATGGAGTGCATATAGGCACAAAATAGAACTGGGAAAGATATTGGGAGGATTAGCTAGAAATAGAACATACGATACATGCCATATGCACGAAATGTGCTTACATCCCCAACCCCGAGCAGTGTTATCGTCGGCTGGTCAGACATTGAGACGGGAATGGAACTCTGAAAAAATAGCACTGGGAAAACCTTTGGCAAAAATATCAGCATACTATGAAGTTGTCGGAACATGGAGAACACAAACAAAACCAACAACCCCCTGATCACGGACAAAATCTACATCGATCTCAACGTGTTTGGTGCGTTGGTTCTATACTAGATACGTAGAGAGGTAGACGCGCTGACATTGTTGCGATAGACCAGTGTAGCACTCTAGCTTGGCTGGTAGGGGCATGTAGCTTATGCAATAATTGGCGAAACCAACATGTCTACGGAAATCTGGATTTTCACATGCTGGCAACCACACACATGCGATAATGTAATTTTGCAGGCGGGTACGTTACGACACTCGTCTACAAAAAGATTTTTGGCAAAAAAATAACTCCCAAAAGATTCCAGAAACCCTAGCCTCGATCCCCAGCCAAAATCACAAAAATAGTTGACATCGCTGTCATCTTCACCATCCACTGGTCGTCGGCGCCGGCCTTGCATCATTGCCGTTGACCTTGCTTTCTGAGCTAGATACAGTGGTTCCACCACCACCCCTCCCCACCCATTCGCCACCTCCGGTAGATCCACCCATCATGGGGTTGGCCTAGCTCCCTCTCTTTGCTGCCCACCAGCCAATGTCCACCCTGGTTGACAAGGAGGGGCCGATGCACCACCACCCTAACTCCCTCTCGTCACCGCTCGCCGGCCACTCCCTTTGTTGGCCATCGAGGAGGAAAGAGGGAGGAGAGGAAATGATGTCGATAGGCGATACCCACATACGATAATTTGTAGAATATGGGGATCGTTGGAACCAAGATATACACGGGATCGAATCTAGAAGATAAGGAACAAGGGTTTATACTGGTTCGGGTTCTCAAGATGAGTAATAACCCTACTCCAATTTATATGTATATATGGATGGGAATACCACATGGATTACAATGAGGGAGTAAGATGACTAATCTAATCCGCCAACTAGGACCTGCCGAATAAATCTTGGCTAGGGTTGGTGCTAGAGTGGGAGGTGGTGTTTAATGCTTAGAAGACCAAGAGACGAGATTGTCGCCAAGAAACATGGCATATCCAGAAGTGGATTTTCTTGTATGGAGACAACCAGACCAATTAGTGTCAAAATAGGCCACTAACTCGATTGGAGTGGAGCACTGAAGATTAAGTCCATGATCTCGAGTGCCACGTGCATACCGAAAAATGCTCTTGAGAAGAGCCAGATGTGGCTATCAAGGATCATGTATGTGAAGACAGACCTTGTAAATATCATATGAAATGTCAGGCAGAGTGAGAGTAAGGTACTACATCGCACTGGCCACGAGAGCACCATCGGTGAAAGATAACTTGGAGTTTGTGTCAACCCGTGAGGTAAAAGGTTTGCAGTTTGCTATAATAGCACGTTCAAGAATGTCAATGCAGTATGTGTTGACTAAGAAGAAGGCCAGAGGGGTGCCGACTCACACTAATCCAAAGAAAGTGATGCAGACTACTGAGATCATTCATGGAAAACTCCAACTGAAGGGCGGTAATGGTCTAGCGCAGAAGGGCAACTAGTGTCAGACTTAGCCTCAATGAATCCGATGTAGAACAAAATAAAACTGACAAACTGAATATACATGCATGAGGAGCCTACTTCAACTCGTAGATAGACTTGTTAGGACGAAACACCATGTTAGACTTGGTAGGATCAACAAAACCAACAGGTTTAGTTTAGTAGATTGTCTTCTAAAGTGTGACATGCAATAAAGCGGAGTTCCTAGCCTCAAAATCGAGGTCCCACACTAGTAAGAGTGGCCCCGGTGAAGGGAGGTTAGTGTAGGAGACCTAGGCTGTGTTCGCTAGAACACGTTCCCATCCGGAACAATGAACACGGAAAACGGAGCGGTCCATTAGCGCGTGATTAATTAAGTATTTGCTAAATTTTTTTTCAAAAATGGATTAATTTGCTTTTTTTAAGCAACTTTCATATATAAACTTTTTGCAAAAACACACTGTTTAGCAGTTTGAAAAGCGTGCGCATGGAATACAATGGAGAAGGGTTGGGAACCCTTGGGTCCGAACACACCCCTAGCGCCTGGCCCAAGAGGTTAGGAGATTAGCTCACCCATGCCTAGATTGTGTTGGCACAGGGGTTCAAGGGAGTTGGCCGGTAAAAAAACTAGCATTGGGCCGAGCCGACAATGTGCTATTGTCCCCTAGTAACCTGGTTGCTAAAGGTGGCAATAGAGTTGTTGCCCCCCGGTTTCTAGTGCCTTCCTCTTGGTTGATAGCTTGGCAAGGCTTGAGATCAATCGAGATCTGGCTCCTTGGAATCCCTCAACGAAGAGTAGGATCATTGAGATCATAGCTTTGGTGAAAAATCGTTATCTCCTTTTGTCCCACTTTGATTTCCTTGTGATTTCATATCCTTGTTCACAGCAGTAGTTTGCATACGTATTTATCGCTTATTATCCTTCCATCTAGCTATCACCTCTCTGTGTTCCATAAACACGATCGTTGGGAGGTGTTGTTAGGGGCCAGAATATCCTGTATTTAAGACCGAAGTGCAGAATGCGTCGTCTAGAGTCTTCGATGTTTGGGCTGGATATTTCGGTGGAGAATTGAATTATGCTATGAGTGATTTTCAAGAATGCCTATTCACCCTTCTCTCTAGGAGATATCATGGTTCTTTCAATCTTCTATTCCCACTTTCTCATCTCCAAAGTTATTTTTACCTTTTTTTTTATCTTCTAATAAAGAACAGGGTCACAAGAATGGATCAATGAGAAGCTTGTAATCTTGAGTTGTTGGTCGGGGTTTGACAGCCTCCTGTCAGTGACAATATGGGATTTGTAACTTGTATTGTTCTCCCCAAAATCTTAATGAATTTGGTTGGCCTTGTCTTCATCCAACACGTTTAAAAGAATTGATCGAAGATGAGAACTTTGAACTTCCGTTTCAGCTTTTGGCATTGACAGTGTGCTCCTGAGCTGCACATCCTTTGTATAGTACTTGACGTCTAGCATAATATGCTTCTATACTCTTTTCTAACATTCCATGTACTAGCCACCATGCCCGCGCTTCGCAGTGGATTATCAATTTGTAAATTACTATAGTAAAAAGTTTCTCTGAATATTATTGGTTAAGCTACCTTGGATTGTATTAATCATAAAACTTGATATTTGTGTGTGATGGTGTTTTCTTTGGTTTGTCTGAATCTGTTTACTTTAGTTGCCACTGCATGTGTTTTCTTAGTTTGTAATGAGACGAAACCATGTGGGACACATTGCAACAAAGTATAAATTCACATAAAAAGTGATTAATTGTTTGTTCATGTACGTAGATTAGATAATTATAAATGTGTATATATTTTGTTTGATATAGTAAACATGATTCAGCAATATAAATTATTACTGTCACTTTCAGTGAAAACCTAAAGAGCATTCCATTGGTTTCAACTAAAAAGCCTTGGGGAATAAGATCAATGTGACTAGGTCTATATGCTCTATGTGAATTATCATAGTAAAAAGTTTATCTAACTAAAGTATTATATTTGTTAAGCTACTTTTGAATATTTGATAGTACTAATAATAAAACATGACATTTGAGTGTAGTGGAGTTTTCTTTGGTTTGTCTGAATATGTTCCTCTGAATATGTTTACTTGAGTTGGCACTGCATGTACTTTTTTAGTTTGTAATGAGATGAACATATGTGGGACGCATTGCAAGAAGTATAAATTCACAGAAAAAGTGATCAATTATTTGTCCCTATACTAAGATTAGGTAATTCTAAATGTATATATTTTTATTTAATATAGAAAATATAAGTCAGCAAAATAAATTATAAATCACTCTCCACTGCTAGACAACAAAAGTTAGCTATAGCCAGTCTCTCAGGAGAAATATTACATTTGTCTTCCCTTGTCAACATTTTGGATCACAGAATTACACCAATCTTAATAAGCGCACAAGGCAGGTATGAGGAAAAGTAAACATGTGCCAGTAAGAACAAGAGGGGAAAGGAAAAAAAAAAAAGACCAGCTACACGGCGGGTTTCCCCCCTCCTTGAATGTACAGACCACTTTATACCACAAGCATGCATATAATGGTATTCAAATCATTTATTGCAGCTCATGTCTTTATGCGCACAACAAAAGAACCTGCAATGTTTACATTATTGTCATATAGCTGACAAAAGGTCAAGGAAAATTTTCAGTATAAATGAACAAATATGTTATGCTTCTCAAAACTGCAAACCATCAACGAAATAGTTTAACCCAAAGCCATATTACAGCCCTTCCCCCTAGGAGATTTGAAATATTCATTTGTAGAATATTACTTCACATTTCAATGACCAAAAGGAATCTCTTTGGCTCAATAAATATAAGCCCTTCACTGAAAAAAAAAATCCTATTGAAAGAGTACAGACAACTAAAAGTCCATCACCAGAATGTTTCTATAAACATCTGTACAACCTTTTAAGAAAGGTAAACAGGAAATTGGTACTCATTTTCTTTTAAAAGTTAGCAGAAAGGGTTGAAAGCAGTTCACTAAGTGAGAAGGCTCCAAGCAGCCTAATAAAGCTATAGGAGGCATGTCCAGCCGTCCAAAAGAATGGAAGGTAGGCTAACTATTATTTGTTGGTGCCACATGTGGTGCACATAGGGCCTCGATTTGTTGCGTGGACTGGAGGAAATCAAAGTCATCTAGAAAGATACTAGTGGCTTCTTCCCCACATATCCATCCTTAAGCTGGAACTAGCTACCTGATCAGGTGGTTTCAAAATTCTATGGTTGGCATTGATGATTGGGCATCAAAGATGGCCAAATGAGACAGTGATTTTGAATGTGCTTGAATGGTCAAGTGATAAGGTTATTCGATCTGAGGTTACCAAATATCCACAAGGAAGAATCCTGTTTGTCATGTTCACCAAAAGATTTTTCACCAACTAATCTCATATGGAGACCCTCATCTTGAGTGTTATCTGATCTGATTATCTTATTTCAAATGTGAGCACTGCCCTTTTTAACAACAATGAGCGCAACTATACTATTCGACATTTCATAAGTAATAGTATTTTAAATGTTTTTAGTTAGTAAGTACGAATCAGTGTTATATTTATCAATTGAAATACTTTAATAGTTTTATTTTTGAAGTATTACGAGTTTAATGAGAGACAATGGTTAAAGTTGAATAATAAAGCTAGTGGTGGTAGTTATTTGAAAACAAAGGGTGTACCATCTAGTGAGTGCATTATGCAGCCTCATGGTGTTGCATGGTATGTAAAAGACATGAGAAGTGGTGCAACTCACATGCTGGAAGGTTGGACATGTCTGCAGTGACAGAACAAGAAATCCCCAAATTGGTCAAGGCACCTCTTATTATCCCGCATGGAAAGTACAGAAGCATGCTTGTTGTTTGGGCTGCGCTATCACCTAGTGTTGTAGAATCATTCTCAGTTGCATCCATGCTCTCTACAGATGGATCTACAGAAACACGAGTAAGCCACCGGAAATGGTTATCTTGAAGAACAAATGTGCCCTGCATATACGGAAGTCAAGTAACATCAGTTTTTTCACAAGTGCAAAATAAGGTATGAATTTTACATTCATTACCCTATGATTAGTCTTCAGATTGTCAATTTGCTTCTTGAATAACTCTGACCAAAAGTCTTTGCAGATAAATTTGATTGCTTCAAGATGATCACTAAATCGAGGGCGCTCCATAGTATATCTGATTTTGAACAGAAACTTTGGTTAACTTTGCAGCACTGGCCTGGAGGTAAGGAACCAATATAAAGAATGCAAATATTTCAGTGAGTAGTTATATTTGTGCTATAGAGTATTATACTTCTCAAAACAATCACCTAATGGCCAAGGAAAATAAAAAGACAACAAATTTAACTAGCTGTAAAAATAAAATGAAAAACAAAATTCATATTATAAAAAGAGGCAAAAGCATCTGCGTATCTGAACATTTTTTTTAAATGATACAAGTAATAAACTATAATTAAAATTGCCGGCATTTTCTTGTTTCACAAATGATTAGAAAACTATGAACATTGTGAATAGTTATGTTCGGGTTGAACTCTTTTTATAATTAGCTTCAAAATTATCTGCTCAAAGGTTCAAGAAAATAGTCATAAACAAGTGCTCAGTCATTGATTTTACATACCCTGTGCTACACACAAGACTATTAACTCAGGATGTCAATGGTTACTGAAGAAATGAATTTAATAATAATGGCCAAACCAATTGACACAGGAAAATGTGTGTATGATAAATGTATCAGGATAATGAACTCTCAAGTCTTTACTAAAGAAGCATTATCAACCTCTGCTGTATACGGACCAAAGCATGGCAACAAAGTTACTTTTAACAATTGTTCCAGCTTGTTGAGTCCTTCAAAGTTATGTATACCACTATACCAGGAACTCAACAAGTTTAGGAAATATATCATTGATTCCAAGAAGAATGCCAGGGAGTAATTAACTCCAGAATGCTATATGCCATCTAGATCTCCAAAGCTATATCATATGAATCTCAGAATCTGTACACCATGAATTGGAGAATATACTGCAGCCCAAAAGGCAAATGTTTTCGTATGCACTAACACCAGGTATGCAGTAAAACGAGTTGTACTATTTAAAATAAAATATTGTATGACTGTGAGCTTGTGATCACATGGTATATTTGTGACCCTATCTGGAATAGCTTGGTGCTGATGAAAACCAATTATCAGATGTATTGAACTATTGGTAAAGACTAACATTCAGTAAGTACAACAATGTCATTCACGAGGGGATAAATTGTTTATAATCATGAAGTTGTATAAACAGTTAAACACCAGAAAATGGTTAAACAAGTGCCCTGTTCGAGACGAATGGATATCCAAGTTCAGTTTCATTCAATCTACTGATGTAAAAAAAAAAAGATCAGTGGAATTTAGCACTATCTTGCGAAACTAAACTGATTGCAACTTAGCATCACACCACATCAGCATTTTCAGTAAGTTCTGCAGACAATTTTATAGCCCCTGTAATTCAACGGCAAGTGGCCTAGATTAGTAAGAACCTTTTCAGCATCAGGCTCAGGTACAAATTAAAGTAGTACCACCATATTTTGGTATTAAGGATAATAAGGTGGAAATTTCATTGCAGGCAAGGTCCTGTTCCCAGAGACCAGAACTTTTCTACAGTGAGGTTAAGGCTTGATACTATAGTCAAATCTGATTAACAAACACTTAGCTCAACCAAAAGCTAAGAGTTCTAGAAAATAGTCACAAACAAGCACTCAATCATTGATCTTACATATCTTGTGCTACGCACAAGAGGATTAACTATGGACGCCAATGGTTAGTGAAGAAATATATGAATAACGATCAAATACATTGACATGAGAAAATGTGTGTATTTTAAATGTATCATGCTAATAAAATCCCAAGTCTTTACAAAAGAAGCATATTTATCAATTTATGTCGCATACAATGATACAAACCAAAGTATCACTACAAAGTTCCTTTAAACAATTATTCAGTTAGTTGAGTCCATCGAACTCGAAGTTAAATATTCCAGGAACTCCACGAGTCCAGGAAATATATCATTAATTTCAAGAAGAATGCCTGGGAGTAATTAACTCCAGAATGCTCTATGCCATCAAGATCTTTAAAGATTCACACAAACCTGTGCACTATGCATTTGAGGATGTACTGAAATCCAAAACGCTCTACTAAAAGACAGGTACGCAGTAAAATGAATTGTACTACTTTAAATAAAATATTCTGGTATATTTATGCCCCTGTCTGGCAGAGCTTTGGTGCTGATGGCAACCAGTTATGAGATGTATCGATAAAGACTAATATGCAGTAAGTACAATAATGGCGTTCATGATGAGATAAACCGTTTACAATCACAAAGTTATAAACAACATCAGTAAATGGTTAAACAAGTGCCCTGTTCGAGATGATAGACATCTAAGTTGAGTTTCGCTCAATCTACTGAAGTTGAAAACAAAAAGATTTCATTGGAATCTTGAAATGTGTTATCCTAAAAGATTCCTCCTTTAGCATCACCAGCCACATCGACCTTGACAAGGCAGATGTGCTTGTGCAGGCTATTTTATAGCCCCTGTAATTCAACGGCGAGCAGCGTAAATGAATGAGAATCTGTTCTGCGAGTTCAGGTACAAATTGAATAAGAATCGAGGATCATGGAATCAAGGAAATAAGGTGGACATTCCATTGCAGGAAAGGCCCTGCTCCTAAAGACATGAAGTGCTCCGCGATGAGGGTCAAGGCTGATTAACAAACCCTCACCCAGGTCAACTAAAAGCAAAGGTTTCAAGATGTATCGGCGTCAACAAGAATCGAATGAGAGGCTAGTAGGACGAGCGAGAGGGATTCGTCAGTGTGGGTGGGGGTCGCCGGAAGGATCGGGGAGGGGGGCGAAGCAGCAGATCCATCCGATCCAAGAAAGAAACTGAGAGACAGAGACGGGGAGGGGGAGAGAATCGTTTGCGGTTTGTGTGGGTGTGCGTGGTACCTCTCGGTGAGCTGGTGGCCGACCTGGAAGCCGATGGCCTCGATGCGACGGGCGGCGAGCTCCGGCTTGGCGGCGTAGAAGCCGCCGCAGTAGGCCGCCACCATCTGCATGACCACCCCGTCGACGCAGCTCTCCGCCACCTCCCGCCCCATCCCTCCTACCTCGCCGGGGAGAGGGTGCGAGAGAGAAAGAGGAGAGATCCAGCGAGCGGAGCCAGGAGGGGGGAGGAAGGAAGCTGTTTGGATGGGTTCAACTTCTCCTCATATTGTGACCTCTAGCTTATATAGTTCTTGTTAAAATTTAAATTTGAGTAAATTTCATGAAACTATAGATACTTAGGTCAAATTATCATAAAACTATAGATTTAAAAATGTGTAACGTCAAACTTTTCTTGGAAGTACAGATTTAATGCACCATATACAAAACTACAGATTTAGTGATAAAGTTATCAAAGAACTACATATTCTAGAGTTTAGATAATAGTACTATTAATTATTTAAAGTCATAAAGTCTGTAGTTTTATAATAAAATAGTTTTTAAATGTGTAGTTTTGTGATAAAATAGTTGTTAAATCTATATTTCTGTGATATAAAACCTTAAATCTGTAGTTCCGTGATAAATTTGACACTAAATCTATAGTTTTATGAAACACATTCTTAAATATGTAGTTTTGTGATAATTTGATCAAAGTATCTGTAGTTTTATGAAATTTACTCTTTAAATTTTAAATTTTAATTTTGATGATTTTTTTATCGTAGTGCACTTTTCAGTATTTGTTTAAAATCGCTAATGACGTGTGTGTAGAAGGTTCACCCACAAATTTATGATTGCACAAAATTGCTAGTTGCTAGAAATTAATAATGGTCAGAACTCAGACCCCCGACTTCCGTGTCATCTCTCACGAGCGGCTCGGAAGGCGACGGCCACTCCTTCGACCAAAACCCTCACATCACCCCTCCAGCCAATCCCGATAGTGGAGCCGGCAGTGACGCCGCCTCCCTCTTTTTCCTTTCTTTTCTTCCTCCTTTCTCTTTCCTTTTTCTTCCCATTTTCCCCTTTGCATCCAGATCTGTGTGTGAGGATACTGTTGAGCACGCGGCTATATCGGATGAAGACGGGAGCCACGAGCTAGGCAAGGGCAACGGCGGCTGGGATCCGGCGAACCTGTGGTCACGGCGAAGATCCGGTGAGGCTCTCCAACCTCCTTCCTTCCTCAACTTGGTCCGACTGAGTCTGACTGCCAATGGGGAAGGTACCTACTAGTGGAGATTTTGTGGCCGGAAGGCTAGCGGTGGCGGTGTACCAGTGGCGTGCGCACCGACAAAGCAGAGCCCTAGGTGGCGATGCTAGTGGTACCGAGAGTGGTGGTGGATGGTGGTTGGTCAGCTTAGCAGCGTTCTAGGAACGACGCCAGGCTCAATAGCAGTGCCAAAAAGGTGGAAAGAAGGTGGTGAAGGTCAGCGGTGAAGATGGCATGGCAATGGTGGCTTCCCAAGAAGATAGGATGTGTTGACGGCTTGAGAGAGGTGGTGGTATGCGGCGACGATGGCTCTCTAGCGAGATAAGCTACCTAGCTTCGTGGAGGTTGTTGATTGCAATGTCAACAGCTTGGCGGCAGAGGTTCTCCAGTGAGATAAGCTTCGGTGGCTCGGTGGAGGTGAGGTTCTGCAGCAACGACGGTGGGGCTGCAGGAGCTTGTTCGCATTGCAGTGCGATGAGTACCATATTATGTGACGATGATGGCTTAGTAGTGACGACTTTTGGCCGAGATAAGCTGCAGCAACTTGGTGGAGGTGGTGCTCTATGGCAGCCACAACATGACGCGATGGACTCATCTAAGCTACATGATTGTGGGTTGTTTGGGTGGTAGGGTGGGCTAGCTCCGCGCATCTCTACGAAGTTTGAAGCCTTGATGCGAAGAGAAGCTTGAAATTTGTCTTTTAGTCTTTTCTTTTCAGTTGTTGTTTTCCTTGTATCTCAGTTTTGAGATTTGGAATGTATACACTTGTTATACTAGCATTTGGCTATGTATATCTATTTTTGGATATAGAGGACGGATTTATATCCATTATTAAAAAGAAGAAATTAACCATGACCAGTTCCTCTTTGTAGCCATTAGGCAGTTGATTGTTTTATTTTCTACCATTTGATTCAAGCAAACAATGGTGAACATCTGTGCTACCTGGATTTTTTTAAGTTTTGGTCCTTTTTGAAAACTTATTTTACAAATAGATTTTGACAACATCTCAGCACCAATGACGCTGGCACACTCTCGTAGGCGAGATGTAGAGAGGTCAACGCCAAAGATACTATTGCTGATGACCTATCTGTAAAATGAATTTTTTGAAAAGGGCCAAAATATAAATATTGTTTTAGAAATAGGTCCTCAGTGCTAGTTTCTTTAACACCGACCCCTTTCGCATCAGCAACTTAGCTACCACAAGAGGGCTAGGGTGCCGGCGCAAGTGTTATTGGCATCGAGACATTGAACCTTGACAAGAGGGCTAGGGTGCTGGCGCAAGTGTTATTGGCATCGAGACATTGAACCTTGACGCCAATGATCCTGGCCCCGAGAAACGGGTATATTCTTGGAATAAGTTACCTGGTGTCTGGTATGATCATAATACCTGATGTGGTAGTAAAATTTTAGGACCTTAATATCTAGGGTTATATAACACATGCCAAAATCTAATTAGATCACAATTGGTTGGTAGGTTTTTATGAAATTTACTAGTTTTTTAAGTATTTTGCAAAATCCAATACCAATCTCCCTTCCTCAGTCCCTCTTGTCAAAAATAACAATTGGATAATCAATCACCTCTATAAAAATGCCTTGAATTAGAGAGCTTCTGATGCTCTGCATTCTATTCAAGTTACCAATTTTGCCTCCCTCTGTATCACCCAAAACCGAATCGTACTCGCCTGGTTAAGCTGTCACAAAAAGAACATGGAGCAACAAAGACATGACAAATGATATCTTACAGAGATCTGAGCTAGTAAATAAAATCATAGCAATCCAATCCCCCTTTTGTAAGAGTATGGCCATCACACAAGTTGTACATTTGCAGACTCAGCTTCTGAGAGAAAGAACCTGTGTCTGTAATATCTGGTTATCTTCCAATAACCGGTCATATTCAAGCAGGAGCTCCTCAGATTGCTTCTGTAGGGCATTGACATGTGCTTCGGCCTCCAATCTCTGCCTTTCATGCTCCTCCGATTCTGATTTTAGCTTCTTCATCTTTTCACTAAGGCTGGCTAATTCCGCACGAAGCTTCTTGACTTCCTTGGATTTATCTTCCTTGCCTTGGAGCTCAATTTGTAGTTTCTCAACCTCCTCCCTGGAGGTGTTTGCGGTTTTCTTCAGTATAGTCAGCTTCCGGTGGTAGTGGTGTAACCGATCAATGACAAATGCAAGGAATAGTATGTACCCTGGAACATCAAGTAAACCATCAAATTCACTTGTATCAAATCAAATGGCCTACAAATATGTGCAGCAGGGTTAAAGGATCCTTCTACCCAGACAGTTATTCTGGTTTCCTGATTTGTTCCAGACAAATCTAAAGTCTATACACTAGAAATGATCCTAGTCTCCTTGTTTGTCTTTCCTTTCGAGTCTATAGAATAAATTTTGAGTACAAAAGGAAGGTCAAAAAACTCGCCTGTAGATAAGCAACATGTCTACCACACACAGTATTATCATTACTTCTTTATAAGTGCGACACAGTGAATATCACACAGACTACTAATATTTGTACTTTTATCAATTTTAAGGGATCAGAGTATATAGCTTAGTAACAGAATGGAACGCTTCCTCATGGGGAATGCCATTATATCTCAATATCTATTTAATCATATCCAGCATTATTTCTCCAATCCACATTACTTCATGCGATTTCCCAGGGGAAAAGCCCCACTACATCGACAGATACAATTGAAGGCACATAAGTTCGAAGTTAATATAAATGATTGGTTCAGGCCTTCAGGGCTTCTAATCTGCTCAAATTTAAATGCAAATTTTGAATTGAACTGGTTACCAAGCTGCTCACACACTCAAAGTCATTATTATATGTCTAGTTGAACAAAGAAAATAAATTGATGTCTTATCAGCAAGGATTATTTCTCAGGCACCAGGTACCCACCGCAGTTTACCAATGGAATCAGACTATATAAAGCTTATCCCTACAATAAAAGGACTTCCTTGACAAACTCTATGTAGACATGATATTTTGATCTGGTTCTATAATTTGAATCTTAAGTTGAAAGAGGATTTTCTTGAGTGACTCTAAATTATACGGTTAGAACAAAATTGCACCAACTCCGGTATATAGCATTATACATAATATATATAAAAAACATTTCAAAGAATAATACGGTTTTGCATTTATTTTAGATAATGGAAATGGATTGCACTCCCAGCCCCTGCTGTTAGGCACCCAGCCAACAATGCAGTTTTACATAACAGTACTGCTTTGAGATTTGTACATTTTGGTATTCAAAAGAGCGTCAAAGCTATTCATGATTCAACCAGTACAACTAAAGAGTAAAGACCCTATATCAATGGGAAATATCAACTACCATCCTTGTTTATTTTAGTGCAGGCATTTTAAGTTTAACTCTTTACAAAGTTAACTTCAATGCCTTGTTCTCTAAATTTTAGTGCAGGCATTTTAAGTTTAACTCTTTACAAAGTTAACTTCAATGCCTTGTTCTCTAAATTCCTTGTATGAAAATCCTAAATGTACTGCAACAATGCATACCTAAGCAATCGTGTGAATCGCAGAGCCACCAAGAAGAAACATGAATAATCACTGCTTACTACAATATTCATAAGTATTATCCAAACAAACCTTCAAACCATTACTAAGATGTTCACTTTCACAAAGTTCAATTTATTTGCTCACTGATGTCATTTTTTCCATTTCTCTATGAACCTGTAAGGATGTTTGTCATCAGTTCGATTGTATGGCATACCAGTTATCAAAATGGACACAGTGACAGACCAATTTGAATAGCCTAGCACCCTAGTTTATTTCATGACCTAAGTTCTTAGTCCAAGTCAGGGGAGTGGAATTTCGCAGTCGTAATATTTGGAACTTTGGACATTGAATAAACAGTAAAAAAAGTGCATCAATTCTAAGACTCCCTAAGACTAAAGTACAAACACTAGGACAAGCAACATACAAATTTGTCGCACGGACTGTTAGCTTTGTAAAGCATATAATTCCTGCATCTGAAAATTTGTGTTCCTGAATGACTAGGTGTATAAGAATAGACCTAAAAAAGCTTATCATTTTTTTCTAAAAAACTGCCAAAGTACAGAACTGATGAGTTCATATTGTGATCTGAAGTTCTGAACTTGTGCATGTTGAGACCTATGTTTCAATTCCATAGTCGACAGATCTTTTTAGTGGTTTACAGCTTCATAGCCTTTACATTCCATATTGGTTTCTTGCTAACTGGAGCTATTGAAACTTAGTGCTCATATGCTTCACTGAGATGTAGATTTGGAATACACAACATTCATTTTCTTATTTTTCATAAAAATCGAGAAATAAGTCATGGCATTTGGTGGTGTGTGCCTTGGATCTATTCTCTCTTTTTTTTGAAACAGTGTTTTCAACTTGAAGATACAGCACACACACACACACCACACACCACACAATGAGTTCAAATATGAGGAAAATAAATCTTCCCTTTAGCCTTTAGGACACTCCTTACTCAAACTAGAGTACTAGACATCATTTTCATTTTAGCAGCAGGAGGTTTCCTAGCTAAGCACAGAACAGGAGCTTCTACTGGCTGCTGACATGACTAATCAAATTTAGACGCAAGATGGGTAGTATTTATTGGTTCGAGTCAACACAAACTTGCTACTACTAGCAAGTTAGTAGCTTAGTAAGCAATCAATCATATAAAAACCTGAAACCACCATTATATATTCTAAACATGTTGACCAGCAGATCTAGATGCATTAAACAACACATATCTAGACGAATTCAGGCTAATAACAAGCAGTCAAGAAGAGATTGCCCAACAAACATTCCTTCAGATGAACTGCTCTCTTAATTACCAAAAAAATCAACTAAATCCACCCCTAAACCCCAATCATTGCCACCACCTACAGTACAATTGTACAGATTCCACCAAGTGGAGGTAAAAAAAATGAAAATGGTAAGAGACGAGGAAGAGAGGGGGATACCAATGAGGGAAGCCTCGAGGAGGTGCGTCCGCCATAGCACCTGGTCCATGGGGCTGACGGTGCCGAGCTTGATGCCGCGGTTCTGGATCCGGAGGATGCTGGCGACGCTGGACATGAAGATGACGAGCAGCGTGCACGCCAGCGTCTTCACCGCCGCGGGGCCTTTACCGTCCTTGGCCTGCTCCACGCCGCGCATCGCCAGCTCCCGCAGCGGCCCGATCTTCACCATCAGCAGCAGCGCCGCCGCGCCCTCCGCGAACAGCACCAGGAACAGCAGCTGAATCATCCTCGGCCACGCCCACCGGCGCTCAAGAAATCTTGGCCTCCTCCAAAATGTTGTGCTCCAGAAGGAGGGGGATTCCTTCCAAGAATCTCCCTTGCACCGGATTGGTCACTTCGCCGCGATTCTTGGCGGCTACAAGATATCGATCCCGCGAGCAATCTGGGCGTTCGGGACCGTGCCTGCAAGAATGCAGATGCTATGCCGACCTGGGGGAGGAAGAATTGAAGGAGAAACTAGAAGATTGGAGGGTGGGGAGAAAGATTGAAGGAAAGAGGAGAATCTTTTTGACTAAAGAAATGAATTTGGGACGAATGAGGGGAAGAAAAGCGGCGTGCCCATCCAACCTTTTTTTTGGCCTTTGCTGCTCCCCACGAGATGATTAGGCGCGCCGCACGCGAAGAACACGAATCACGCGAATCTGTGGGGGTTGCGGCGGATGGGGATTGGGGAGAGGAGGAGGGCGAAGAGAGAGCTCGGGTGGGGAAGCAACGAAAGCTCGCTCAGCTGCTCGGTTAGCAGAGTATGACTGTATGACTGAGAGCACAAGGTTATTGCTCTCCTTTCTCACTTTCTCTTTCAATGTTTTTAGCGTTAATTTGATGGGTTAATTAGATTCATGCCATTATTAATTTAATAATTTTAAAATATACTATTATAATTCATGAAATTGAAATCATGTCATTAAAATGTAATAGGTTTTTAGAAATGCCACTAATTTTTTGCATTTTTTAAAAAAATATGACCAAATTACCCTTATCTTGTTCCTTCATCCTCTTCTTTCTTCCCTCCTCTCTCTCTCTCATCTCACCTCTAGCATGCTCTCGTTGGTCACAAATGGGCACGGTGCATGTGCGTGCATACTGCTTAATCCAACTAGCCATTAAGCTAGCAAACCTACAGGAATGGACAATAGTTAGCTCACCGCATCATTCCCCCATCTTCTATTTGTTAATTTCATCGTCGGATGGTTTAATACGATATGCTTGAATGCTTGATAGTGTGACATCCTAGCCCAGTGCTTAATAGGTTTAATAGAATATTCATACCAACAAGTTACAACTAAATTGCTAGATGTAAGAGGGCCCGGCCTGGGAGAGGCGGGACATTGCAAAATGGTATCAGAGCAAAATGGTTATCAGAGCCGACTCGGCCCAGCCTCTTAAGGGGGTGAGGATGTGACATCCCGGCCCAGGGCTTAATAGGATTAATAGAATACTCATATCAACAAGTTGCAACTTCTTTTTCAGAAGCTGATCTATTCTTCTCGAGTGCGCACGAGTGAGGACAAAGTGTGCGCAGAGAAGATTTGTGTTGGTCTGTGAAGGCAGTCTATGACCTATAAAAACTTCCAGATGTAAGAGGGCCCGGCCTGGGAGAGCGGGACGTTACAGATAGCTAACCGGACACTACAACAGCACCAACATACCCTGCGTCGACCACCACCTCCTGCTAGGATCCCGCCTACGCCTGTGTCTCGCCGGCTGACACCTCCGAGGGCGTCGTGTTCTACGCCACTAACACCGAAGCCGTCCCAGAAGCGTCCATTCGGAGGAGCACGCAAATGCTGCTACCTGCTAGCAATGGCTGTCGTAGGGGGCCGCAGGTCCCTATGGCCGCCGCTCGGCGTCGTCCTTCCCTACCTTCTTCAACTCTTAGTCTCTCCCTTTTCTCCACTAATGAGCATAACTGGAAGACGAAGGCAAAGGCGCTCATAGCGCTCTTGCTCGAGTTCTCCATCGACGGGCTCCCACGCGCCACCGTCGGCTTCGCAGAAAACATGTGCTACAAGAAGAGAGCATGCAAGAGGTGAGAGGAGATATAGAGGGGAAGAAAGAAGAGGGGAGAGGTAGAAGACGAGGACAATTTGATCAGAAAAGTATGGAAATTGCATCAAAGAGATGTAGTGGCACATCTCAGATGTCTGGCAAAGTATAGTGGAATGGTTCTAATTTCATAAATTATAATAGAATATTTCAAAACTAGCAAATTAATAATGGTATAGATCCAATTAACCCTAATTTGATCCATGTCATGTTAATTTAGATAAATATCATTACTATTCATGTCATCCGAATACATACAAAATTAGAACCATACCATCACCATCACGTTTTACATCTTCTTTCCCATCTACACATGAGACCCACATATTAGATTCATTATCTTCCTTTCAACCTCCCTTATCTTCCTTCTTCCCCATCTCGCTGCCGCAGCTGAAGCAAAGCGCCCCGACGGATCGTGGTCGCCCACAGGCTCCCTCTCAATGCCACACTGAACACCGGATCCCTTTCAGCTTCGTTTTCTCTCTCAACGTTGACATGCATGCGCTCCAGCTCTCGCACGTCCTTAGCCTCGCCTTCGTCATCTTTGTCGGCACCTTCCTCCGGAGGCTCAGTCACTGGAACCCTTCGACGAGCTTGATGGCTACCTCCTCGGGAGCTTCTCCTGCCTCCCGGTGTTCCTACCGTGCGTGTGTCTATGACGAGTTCTACTTCACTTCTGCAAGCACTACCCATGGCCATGGCTCCACTACCATGTACAACACACTTGCTAGTGACCTCCACCTTCGATGCCACCCTGTACCACTCCTGTCGGCAAACAAGAGCTTCGTCGCCCGCGTTATTGAGGTGCTCTCCCTAGAAGACAGTGACATCATGTTCATCCACGATTACCACCTCTGGCTCCTCGCTTCCTTTCTCCACGTCGCGATAGAGAGATAGGGAAGAAAGAAGAAAAGGGAGGGTGAACAGAAGAAGATGAATCTAACGGGTGGGTCTCATGTATTGATGAGGAAGAAGATGGAAAACGTGATGATGAAGGTATGGTTTTAATTTTATGTGTATTCGGATGACATGGATACGAATAGATGAATAGTAATGACATTTATCTAAAATGGCACATTTGTAATGGCACGGATCAAATTAACCCATTTTTTTAGGGCGAAAGTCTTCTTGGTCGCCTTTTGGTTCTTCCAACACACGGGATGTAACATACTCAAAAATCTTGAATTTTTGGAGAAAATTTTTCGCGACAAGTTTTCCTTTTGGTTCTTATTGCATTTTTCTAAATTGGAGCATTTCCTATTTTTATCCTTTTTAAATTTATATGTCTAATTAATTAGGTTGTGTTTCTATTTCAAAAACATTCAAATCCGTTTGGTAATCTAAAAGCTTTATTTTAAAATTTCTTTGTCAAGTTCAAAAAGTCCTCAAATTTATCTCCTCAAGTTTCATCTCCTTTGAATCCTATTTCAAATCTATTTATAAATTGCAAAAGGTTCCTATTTAGTTTGGGCCGAAGTCCCTTCATTCGGCCCAATTGGCAAAAGTCTATATGGCCTCCCTCCTCCTTCCTGTGAGCCGCCGCCGCCACCACTGCAACCAGCCGCCGCCGCCGCTAGCCAATCCGCCGCCGCCACCTCACCCAACCAATCCGCCGCCGCCACCTCACCGCGCCAATCCGCCGCCGCCACGCGTCGCCGACCAACAAAACTGCCATCGTCGGCCAATCCGACGAGGCCACCCGGCGCTGCTTCTCTGCATTTAAATCGAAGCACGCCATGCCGTCGCCGGTTTCTCTTCTATCCACCGCCTCTCGCCGCCTATAAAAGGACGACGAGGTTCCCTCTTTCTCCCCACACAAACCGAGCTCCTCAAGCTCTCTCTCTTTCTCTCCCATGTCCGGCCATTAGTGCCACCGGCCGATCTCCCTCCCCGGAGCTTCGCAAGCCAAGTCCTTGCGCCACCAACTCCGCCTCGCCGAGGTGATTCTATTTTTCCCCTTTCCCCTTTCCCTCCACCTTAAGATAAGCCGCCACCACCACCTTCTCTTATTGCCGGAGCTGAGCTCTTGTCGCCACTGTTCCGGCCATCCCTCTCTCTCCCTCCGCCTTCCACCACCCTCCCCGGGTGCGCGTCGCTCGGGAACACCATCTCCCACCGGCGTTCTCACCTCCCGGCCACCGGAGAGCCGGTGCCTTGCTTGCCCTCCTCTCTGTTACCTCTCGGCTGCCAAACAGAAGAAAAAAAAAAGAAGAACGAGAGGAAGAAGAAGAGGAAGGAGAAGGCATTGACAAGTAATAATAACTCCCTTTTTCTTTTATTTGTTTTTCAATCTTTAAGAGCTCATATCTCTTCAACCACAAATCCAATTCCAAGAATTCTTTGATCTAAATTCATCCAATTTCAAATCCTTTATTTTGATACCAAATTTCCTATTTTTAAAATTTTAATTAAAATTCTTTATTTAAAAACCTTTTCCTTATTTATTTATTTACTTTCTAATTCTAAATTATTTTAATTAACCTTTAAAAAATATATATTTTAAATTTATTTGATTTACTTTATATCCCTTTAATTTTAAATTTCTTGTTTGAAAAACCTTTTTAAAATTTAATTTTCCTTTAATTTCTTTAAAAGCCATTTCCTTTCAAAATTCAAATATCTTTTGACCTTTTGCTTTTGCCTCTCTTCATGCTCCAATTTTGTTATTTTCTTTTACCGTTTATCTGTAGTACTTTCCCTTATAGGTTTTATTTGCTATCTTTTACGTATACGTACGTTAGACAATACAGAAAATCTCATCAACATCACAGGAGCTGACGTGGATCCAGCCGACTACGCTGAAGCCTTTGAAAGTTTCAAGGCTCAAGGCAAGACACAATTAAAATTTTGACCACATGAAATAATCAACCCTCATGTTTACTTTATGCATAAGTTAATCATATGAATAACATTGTGGTGGCTTAAAATGATATTTAATACTTTTAAGCATTGTTATATGAGATTATGGAAAGGTATACTGAACATCATTTTATGTGGTTTATTATTCAAACATCTTTACAAACTTAGGAATCCGGTTAAAATGGGTATTTTTGAATGTTATATATAATGAAGTTTGTTGGTGTGGGGAGTTTGGAAAGTTTTGGGTGGTTTAACTGGATTATAATTACCCCCTTATACCATGGGAAATGACATAGTTGTGTCCATCCACATAACCAGGTAATTATTGGACTTAGCCTAGTACATTGTCCCACTATATGAAAGACTGTTGGGTGGCTCTATGAGCGGTTGGTGTGAACATGCGTAAGGAGTTAGGGGGCAGTGTTTCATAACAGTAGGTCCCGTGAAAGTGTGACGATATAGTAACCTTGCTTTAGGCCTGGCAAGAGTTCGACCACTATGATGAGCCAAGATTCTACTGTGCAGTAACTAGTAGTAAGTGGGACCTTCGAACGGCTCTGGTGTCCTCAGCCTTGCAAAGTATTTGAAAGAGCATCTATGCCCCTAGTGGGTTTTGGTTTATTGATGACAAATGATTAAGGGACTACTGCACTTATTAAGTGTCTAAGCAAGTGATTAGTCCGATGAAGAAGCTAGGAAATGGACTTATCGATGGATGAGAATTAAAGAGAAGATATTGAAGATGCGGGTATGAAGTGACTACCTATGGCAAGACGGTGAAGCGCAAGCGACGCTCAGTTGCGATGGACCATACGGTGGTAAAGGGCAAGCAAGGGGGTTGGCGCCGACGAACCGAAACCGGTGGTG